CACTGAGCTACACTCTCAGCTCTTAATTTTTTTATTTTGACACAGAGTCTCAGTAGGTCAGTAAATTACCCTGGCTAGATTTAAACATCCAGTCTTCCTGTTTCAGCCTCCCAGACTGCTAGGATTACAGGCATGCACCACCACACTTGGCTCTTTTAAAATTTTATTTTCCCTGTTCTTATTAGTTCCTATTAATTTTATAATATATTGAGTTTCAATTTGTATTTTTGTTTGTTTTTTAGAGACAAGCGTCTCCCTCTGTAGTTTGGCCTCACACTCACAACAATCCTACTGCCTCAGCCTCCCAAATGCTGCAGATACAGGTGTGTGCCAGTACTCCCAGTATATTTCAAGGCAGGGGCTTCTTTTTTTTTTTGGTACCAGGGATCGAACTCAGGACCTTGCATTTGCAATGCAGGCATGGTGCCACTGAGCTAAATCCCCAGCCCTCCCCCAGTATATTTCAATTAGATCCATCTCCCTTGCCCTCTCCCTTACTAGGGTCACAGTCTTGACTGCACACACTCCTGTAGCCACAAGGACTGAGGAGGCTCAGATAATCTTGAGGCTACAGAAGTTGTGGGTACATGGAGAGTCAGCGGTAGGGCCTCAAAGTCTGGAGAAGGAGGGTAGCAAGGGGCTTGGAGAAGGCTGCTGGGTCAAAGTGACGATACCATAGTTCTTTTATCCACAGTGCTGAGTGAACAGGACTGATGAGGGTTGGGTTCCTGTCTGGCCGGGGGTGTAGGGGGTAGAGATTCCTGGGAGGCAGGTTTTGGTTTGGCATTGAATTGACAGGGGCCTGATACTGGGGGACAGCCCCATGCCACCAAGACTTGTACATTAAGAATGGTAAAAAGGCTTCCCACAATGTTTTTTATTAAAAGGAATCATTGGACCTAGGTGTGGTGGTGCACACCTGTAATCCCAACAGTCTAGGAGGATGAAGCAGGAAGATCACAAGTTCCTGCCCAGCCTGGACAACTCAGCGATTTATCAAAGACCCTTTCTCAAAATTTATTTATTTCTTTATTTAGAGACAGGGTCTTGCTATGTAGTCCAGGCTGGCCTCAAACTCACAGCAATCCTCCTGCCTCAGCCTCCCAGGTGCTGGATTACAGGTGTGGCACCATGCCTAGTAGGAAATTTATCTTCTAAGTGCTAATTTTAAAAATACAACTTGCAAATGTAGTAAAGGTTGTCATCCCCTAATGCAGAGTTAAAGGGGACAGAGCTGAGGGCAGAGAAAGGTAGAAGAAGACAGAGAACAAAAGACACAGAAGGCTCAGAACAATTTCATCTTGGCCCCTGTGTGACACCTAACAGTTTGGGGACCATTTCTCACAGAAGTGGCCTTCACTGGACCATTTCCAAGTGGTGGGACCTGGGGCAAGTTACCTCAGCTTTTCTGGGCTTCAGCCTCCACACCAGAGAAATGGAGTAAGAGTTGTGCTCACCCCATGAGGCCCCCCTTGGCATGTTGAATGAGCTAAGAAGTGGAACGCACTTGGGAAAATCTGAGAGAACAAACAAATCATTATTATTATTTTTTTGGTATCAAGAATCATACTCAGGTCCTCTCGCTTGCCAGGCAGGTGCTGTGCCACTGAGCTACATCCCCAGCCCCTCCCCCACCCCTTTTTGGGTAAAAGTAATCAAATTACATATACTGGCCAAGATGGTGACTTGCACCTGTAATCCCAGCACTGAAAGGCTGAGGCAGGAAGATGACAAGTTCAAGCCCAGCCTGGGCAATTTAGTGACTTAGCAAGACCCTGCCTCAAAATTAAATAAATAAATGAACAATAAATAAAAAGGACTGGGCTGGACATGGTGGCACATGCTTGTGATCCCAGCACCCAGGAAGCTGAGGATCGCTGCAAGGTCAAGGCCAACCTGGGCTACATAAGGAGACCCAGTTTAAAAAAAAAATTAAAAAGTAAAAAATAAAGGGGATTGGTGCTGGGGATATAGCTCAGCACAAAGGCCCTGGTGTTTAATCCCCACAGACAACAACAACAACAATAATAATAAATACAAAGACATGATTAGCTGGTTGTGTTAGCCGACACCCATAATTCCAGCTACTTGGAAAGGCGAGGCAGAAAGATCACAAGTGCAAGGCTAGTCTCGGCAATTTAGCAAGACCTTGTTTCAGAATTTTAAAAAGGGCCGGGGATGTGTCTGTGGGGAAGCACTTGCCTAGCATGTCCAAGGCTCTGCGCTCCATCGCCAGCAGTACCCAAAATTTAAAAAGACATCATTATTAATCTTTCATTGGTTCTTTCAACACATTGCTGTGTGTCTGGTTTGTGCCGGATATTTTTCATAGGCTTGGCAGAGAGACTGCCTAGTGAGCAGTGTTCAAATGAGCAAATGCAATAGCTTTGTAAAAATGTATATTTATATTTTATACTTGTTTATTTATTTTTGTGGCACTGGGGATGGGACCCAGAGCTTCACACATGCAAGGCAAGTGCTCTACCACTGAGCCCCATCCCCAGCCCACAATGCTTCTTTACTGTCTTTTTGGGGAGAGGACAGCAGAGTCTTGCTAAATTGCCCAGACTCACCTCAAACTCACCATCCTCAAACTCAGCCTCCTGAGTAGGTGGCTCCACAGTGTTTTTGTTTTGATTTATTTTGTTGTTGTTTTGGGTTTTTTTAGACAGGCTCTCACTATGTAGCCCAGGCTTGCCTTGAACTCTTGGCGATCCTCCTGTCTCAGCCTCCTAAGTGCTGGGCTTCCAGGTGTGCGCCACCATGCCCGGCTCCACAGTGGTTTTTAAGGCCAAGTAGGAGCTGGCTCTCATCAACAGGTTAGAAGGTGTCACCAGCCTGGAGATGTGAAATAGCTTGCTAAATTGGGGGCACCCTAAGCTGAGATGAGAAGCACATGAGGTGGGAAGAGGTTGCAGCTGCCACTGTAGAAGGGGCATAGAGCCTGGGCACGGGAGAGGCTTTGTACCGTGGGCAAGGCCTCCAAGGGGCTTTCAGGTATGTGGGCCCCAGAGGTGCACCGGTCCATTTAGGAAGCCAATCATGTCAGTCACACCCTAGACCTGCTCAGCAACTAGACCGCTACCCCTGGACCTGAGAGCAGCCTGTCTCCAAATCCCCTACATCATGAATGGGGAAACTGAGGCCCAGAGAGGCAGGAACTGAGCTAGCATTCACTTGGGGAAGCATTTTGGCATCATCTGGAAAAGCTAGAGATTCACATGCATACCCTGTAACCCAGCATTTGCCCCCTGAAATCATGCATGTCGATGTGGGCAAGATGTGTGTGGCAGCCAACACTGCGGCATCGCTCCAACAGCAAGCACTGCAGACAGCCCCAGATCCACTAGCGGGAGACACACTGAAACATGGAACACTACAGAGCAATGACAAGAAGCAGCTACCACTACAGACAAATAGGAATCACAGTACAGACAGGAGAGAAGGCATACAGGAGCACACCCCATCTCTCTTGGGCTTGCAATCAGGTCCTCTGCAGCCAGCACCCAGGAGGCTGAGACAGGAGCATCACTTCAAGTTCAAGGCCAGCCTGCACTACATAGTGAGACCTTGTCTCAAAAAAACCAAACCAAACCAAAAAATAAGTCTCTCTGCTTGTTAACTGGATGCTATTGGGGAAATCATTTAATCGCTCTGAGACTCTTAGTTCCCTCATCTCTAAAATGGAGACATGATGGTATTGGGTGCAGTGGCACACACTTGTGATCCTGGCACTTGGGAGGCTGAGGCAGGAGGATTACCATGAGTTCAAGGCCAGTCTGGGCTACATAGTGAGTTCAAGGCCAGCTTGGACTACATAGCAAGACCCTATCTCAACCCCCCCAAAACCCAAAAATAAAATAAGACATGTAACAGTGTATAACCTATAGGCCAGTGATGGTGAACCTTTTAGAGCTTTCAGTGATACAAACAGCCTGCTATGGCACCTGTGCCACAAGTTCACCACCACCACTGTAGGCTTTTTTCCCCCCAGTATCAGGAACCGAACTCAGGACCTTGGGCTCGCCAGGCAGGTGCAGCATCGCTGAGCTACATCCCTGGCCCTGTTAAGGAGTTCAGTGGTCTAAAGTCTTTTTAGGGAAAAGGGGTTAGAACAGTGCGTGGCACATATGTTAAGTGCTACATGAATGTTAAGATAAAAGTAGAGACACTGGAAGTGTAGCTCAGTGATACAGCATATGCCTAGCATGCACAAGATCCTGAGTTCGAGTCCCAGTACCACAAACGAATAAAGTAGAATGCCAAGTGGAAAAAGCAAGTCTTCCAAGATTGTATACTTTCAAAATGTCCAAAAATGGCCAGGCATGATGGCACACACCTCTAATCCCAAAACTCAGGAGGCTGAGGCAGGAGGATTGCCACAAATTGGAGGCCAGCCTGGGCTACGTAGTGAGTTCAAGTCCAGCCTGAACTACACATAGTGAGACCCTGTCTCAAACAACAGCAACAACAACAACAAAAACGTCCAAAAGTGAAATAAGATGTTGTTTCAGCATTCATGGATGCTACAAAGTTTCCTTCTTTTAGAAAGGGGATGATAGCCAGGGTAGTTGTGCATACCTATAAGCCCACCACTTGGGTGGCTGAGGCAGGAGGATCACTGTGAGTTCAAAGCCACCCTGGGCAACATACCGAAAAAGGTGATGATAAAGGCCAGGCATGGTGGTGCGCTCCTGTCATTCCAGCACTCAGTAGGCTGAGGCAGGAGGATTTGCCAAGAGTTTGAGGCCAGGCCAGCCTTAACTATATAGCAAGACCCTGTCTCAAAAAAAGAAGAAGGAGGAGGAGGAGGAGCAGGAGCAGGAGGAGCAGGAGGAGAAGGAGAAGAAAGGAGGAAGTTTGAGCTCAGTCTGAACAATTTAGTGACCTTGTCTCAAAATTTTAAAAATTAAAGTAAAAGCAGGGCCGGGGATTTAGCTCAGTGGTTCTGCCGCCTGCCTTGCAAGCGGAAGGACCCGAGTTCGATCCCCAGTACCAAAAAAAAAAAATTAAAGTAAAAGTTAGGAACATAACACAGTAAGAAGGCCCTGGGTTCAGTCTCAGTACTACAAAAGTACTACAAAGCAAACCAATGAATAAATTGCTGGAGATGTACCTCTTTGTGAAGGCTCTGGGTTCAATCTCTGGTACTACAAAAAAAAAAAAGAGAGAGAGAGAAATCAAGAAATTCATTCATTCATTCATTCATTCAGGAACTACAGGGAGGCAAGGATATGCTATGGGGCCCTGAGTCAGGGCTTATACTGCACACTGTTGCAATGTCAGGGGCTCAGAGGAGAGATGGACTCCCTGGGGCTCTGTTATTTATTTATTTAGGCAAGGTTCAGGCTAGCCTCTAACTCTCAGTGATCCTCCTGCTTCAGCCTCCAGAGTGCTGGAATTACAGGCGTGAGCCACCACGCCCGCCTGGGGCTCTGTAATTAACAGGAAAAGCTGCTGCAGCAACCCTTCCTGACTTGGTCCCAGCCTACCTGGCTCCTTTGGGCAGGAAAGAGGCTGGGCGCCCCAAGACCACTCCCCTTGGCGTCAGCCCTGCAGAGGTGCCCAAGGTGGCTCAGCTCTCTCACCCCAGCAGAAGAAGGCAGGCCTGAGGCCGGCAGAGGAAGATGGGCCCCAAAGAGTCAGAAAGAAGGAGGCTGGAACTGGTCAAGAAGATGGGATGAGCCAGTTAAGTGAAGGAGAGCCCCAACCTGAAGGAGGAGGGCTCAACCCTGTCCTAGCAAGGCAGAGGCCAGGCCCACTGCAAGGCCCCGGAGGACTTGTTTCCCTTGTGGTTTCTTGCACTTCCTGTTCCCTTGCTCACTGCGGAAGTTCCTCTTCTTACCCTGCACTCGGAGCCTAGGCAGAGAGGACAAGGACAGAAGAACCATGAGTGGGGGCCCTGTAGGAGGCAGGGCCGGGGGCCGGGGGGGAGCAGTGGCCCAGCAGAACATTCCTTCTAGCCTCCTGCAGGACCACGAGAACCAGCGCCTCTTCGAGATGCTCGGCAGGAAATGCTTGGTGAGCTGGGGCTTAATCTCCCGGCCCTCCCAGGGTTCCCTCCCTTTTCTTGTCTTCCACTCTGCCCCCTCCACTTCCTCACCCCTCCTTGCTCCTCTTCTTTCTTCTCATCCTTTCCTACTTCTTTCCCCGTCCTTCATTTTATCTCCTAGGACCCACTTACCATCCGTCCCCCATACCAGGAAGATCTCCATGTCTGCTCACCTTCCCTTTGTTTGTGGCTCAGCCTACAAGCCCATGATCGCTACAGGCAAGGAAGGCCCAGGCCTGGCTCCTCGACCCTCAGGCTACCTCTGAGCAGACGCCACTGTCCTTGCTCTCCCCCCAGACACTGGCCACTGCAGTTGTTCAGCTGTACCTGGCGCTGCCCCGTGGAGCCCAGCACTGGACCATGGAACACTGTGGGGCCCTGTGCTTCGTGAAGGACAACCCACAGAAGTCCTACTTCATCCGCCTTTATGGCCTTCAGGTGACCTGTGACCCACTGGACGCACAAGCCAGTTCTCCACCCGCACAAGCAGATCTATGTCCATAACCCTGAGCCCTCAGTCGGGTAGTTAATCCCTGAGCCCCAGAACCAGTGAACCACCCAGATCCCAAACTCTGCCTCACCTTTCTAGGTCTGAGACAACCTGCTCCAGGTCTCCATCTCAAGATCTCTTCACGCACCCAAATAGTAATATACTCCTAAGCCTAATCTGTTCCACAAACAAAAAAAGAAAACAAGGAGTATTGTAATTATGCCTCAATCTCAAATCTGTTCCAAATTCAGCATTTTAAATGTACCTGGGACTGGAATTTAAAATTCTGAAATTTGAGCCCCCAAGTCCCACATCTAGGGTCATGAATTTAAGCCTCTCCATACTGTACTCCAACCCTAGATATCTGACACCTAGACCACCAACTCTTTGATGCTGATCTGAAAATCTCCAGTTCAGAGCCTGGGGCCCAAAATCTGGACACCACACTCCCTGGCCAGGTAACAAAGGCCTGCCCCCAGGCATATGTCTCAGTGCCATGTGTGTCCCCCCACCCTGCCTCTCCAGGCTGGCCGGATGCTCTGGGAACAGGAGCTGTATTCACAGCTGGTCTACTTGGCTCCCACGAGCTTCTTCCACACCTTTGCTGGAGATGTAAGTGGCCCACATGGCCCCTTGGGCCTCGGTTGGGGTGTGAGGAGGAGAGGGGAAAAGCAGGGAGGCTGGATTGATGCTGAACCTAAGGCATGTGCAGGACTGCCAGGTGGGGCTGAACTTTGCAGATGAGGGCGAGGCCCAGGCCTTCCAGGCCCTGGTGCAGGAGAAGATACAAAAAAGGAATCAGAGGCAAAGTGGAGGTGAGGAGGCTCTGGTGGAGGACAATGATTGGGCACAGGGAGTGTGTGGATGGGGAGCTACAAAAGCCCTTCTTATGGCTCTGAATCCACCTGTCTAGCCACAGATAGACGCCAGCTACCACCACCACCAGCACCAGCCAATGAAGGTAGGTCCTTTAGTGCCGACAGGGGCAATAAGGGGCTGGCCCAGGAACCTGTGGCAGGGTTATGACAGTTCTTAACCCATTCCATCTCCCCAGAAAGAAGAGGAGGACTCCCACCTCTGGCCCCACATCCAGGTGGGGACCAAGGGGGTGAGTGGTGATTCTTTCCTGTGTCTCTTGATGGATGGGTTGGTGGAGAGAGGATAGATGGATGGGTAGTTGGGTGGGTACATGAGTGGGTGAAGGGGTAGGTGGATGAATGAATGGGTGAAACAGTGGGTATGCAGACGGATGAACAGGTACTGGGGTATGTGGATGGATAGGTGGGTGGATAGATTGGTGGCAGATAGATGGCTAAGTGGAAGGATGAACTGATGGGAGATTGAAAGTAGAAATAGATGTATAGGTAGATAGGTGCATGTGTATGGGGATAAATATATGGATGGATGATTGAGTGAATGAGTGAACAGTGTTTATATGACAATAATCCAGCCAGTGAAGAAAGAAAAGATTAAATGAATGAGTAAATAATTTAACAAATGAATCAGTCAACAAATCAGGGAATGGATGAATAAATACGTCAATGATCAGCATGAGTGAATGAATACATGAATGAATCCATGAATGCATGAGATCTGCCCACTTCTCCACTAACCCTTAGACCCCTTACTCCCTCCCTCCAAGACCATCAAACACAGACTTTTCCAATGGCCTTCCCATTTCTTATCCTTGTGCTTTGGCCGGGAGGGAGGAGAGTGAATGGCCCATTCACCCTGTGTTCTCCACAGGTCCACCAGCTGTCCCACTGTCCCTGGGGCTACCTACAGTGGACATCCAGAACCCTGATATCACAAGTTCACGATATCGTGGGCTCCCAGCCCTTGGCCCTGGCCCAGCTGATAAGAAACGCTCAGGGAAGAAGAAGATCAGCAAGGCTGATATTGGCGCGCCCAGTGGATTCAAGTAAGAACCCTTTCTCTGTGGGCCCCTGGGGGCTTCCAGGATATGAACAGGTGGACAATCAGTGACGGGAGCGTGGGCAGATGGGTGCGCGAGTGAATGGACAGATGAAAGGGCAAGTGAGTGAATGAATGGGTTTAAGTATGGGGTTGAGTGGATGGACGGAAAGGCGGGCACATGGGTAGATAAGTGGATAGATGGACTATGTGTGAAATCAGGTTGATGGACAAAGGGGTAAACAGACATGTTTGAGCAGGTGGACATAGGGACAGCTGTATGGACAAATCAGTGGTCTGTGAATGGATAGGTGAACAAAAATTGAGTGGATGGATGGTGGCAAGATGGACAGATGGATACATTGGGGCCTTAAACTTTGGTCCCCTTCTAATCATGTAACTGTACTTCCACTCATTCCCTCCTTTGGACTCAGGCCCACATTCTGACTCTTGGGTCCCCCTGGGCAGGAGAGGGCGAGAGGGCTTCCTCAGGAAGGAAGGGTAGTGGGTTTCACCAGCATCTCTTCCCTCATCCAGACATGTCAGCCACGTGGGCTGGGACCCGCAGAATGGATTTGATGTGAGTAACCCCAAAGGCCCCTGCACTCCGTTCACCTTCATCCTGCCCTTCCACAGACCACTGCTCAGACCCCATCCCCAGACCCTGCCTCTCCCACATCCCTCTCAGATCCCTGGCTGGGCTAGACCCCATAATAATCTCTGCTCCTCCTTCTGTGCGTTCTTCCTTTACCCTGGCCGGCCTTCTTCACCCTGGACAGGTGAACAATCTAGACCCAGATCTTCGGAGCCTCTTCTCCAGGGCAGGAATCAGCGAGGCCCAGCTCACGGATGCAGAGACCTCCAAACTCATCTATGACTTCATCGAGGACCAGGGTGGGCTGGAGGCCGTGCGGCAGGAGATGAGGCGGCAGGGTGAGGCCAGCTCCCCTTCTGCAGCCCTGGCGGTTGATGCCTCAGAGATGCACTGAAGTCCCTTAGTGTTCATGGAGAGCCCTACACTGGTCCGTGGAAAAGGACAATACTCACAGCTGTGTGTTATTTTCCTCCCACAGAGCCACTTCCACCACCCCCACCACCATGCCGAGGAGGGAACCAGCCCACCCGGCCCCCTGTTGTGGGGGGTAACAAGGGTCGTTCTGGTCCACTGCCCCCTGTACCCATGGGGGCTGCCCCACCCCCACCAACTCCACGGGGACCCCCTCCCCCAGGTCGAGGGGGCCCTCCACCACCACCCCCTCCAGCCACTGGACGTTCTGGACCACCGCCCCCTCCACCCACTGGAGCTGGGGGGCCATCTGTGCCACCTCCACCGCCGCCACCACCACTGCCATCACCCAGCACTGGGGGTGGGCTGGTCCCTCCCCCACCCCCTCCCACTCTGGGGTCTGGGGGGGGCCTGGCCCCTGGTGGGGGTCGGGGCGCACTTTTGGATCAAATCCGGCAGGGAATTCAGCTGAACAAGGTGAGGACAGGCAGGATGGCGAACTGGGGGTCTGGGACTCCAGGGTGTTCTGGGCAAGTCAGGATTTGAGGGGGCTGAGGCCAAGACTGATGGGGGTATCATGCTTTGGGGGTTCAGTGATAGGGTTGGAAGATATATGGGGAGCCTTGCCGGGGATTGGAGCATGTGGAAGGAGATATGCTCTTTTGGTAAGTCTGACCCCTCTGTACCCAACCCTGCTCACTGCAGACCCCCGGAGCCATGGAGAGCTCAGCCCTGCAGCCCCCACCTCAGAGTTCAGAGGGACTGGTGGGGGCCCTCATGCATGTGATGCAGAAGAGAAGCCGGGCCATCCACTCTTCCGGTGAGCCTGTCCTGCTGGGATGTGCGCTGATCCCCAGGGCAAGCCCTGGCTGAAAACACCCTGAGTGCCACTAGTGGCTGCACGCTTGCCTAGCACACCCATCTTCACAGTGTTAACATTATTGTGTGATAATAACATAATCTGTCTTTGACATTAATAGCATTAATCACAAAGTATGGCCACAATATTAACATTAACCCATGTTTAGTACTATTAACTTTAGCCCACTGTGTCATGATGTTATTTATAAAGAACCCTATCTTGATTTTTGTCTTTTTGAGACAGAGTCTTACGCTGTAATCCAGGCTGGCCTTGAGCTGTGTAGCCCAGGCTGGCCGTGAGCTCACAGCGAGGGTTAGGATTATATGCCACCATGCCTGGCTAAAGAACCCTATCTTTGACAATACTATAAGCTTTGGGGTTTTCTTTGGTACTGGAGATTGAACCCAGGTCCTTTGCATTAAGCTACATCCCCAGCCCTTTTGTAAATTTTTTATTTTGAGACAGGGTCTTAATATGTCACTCAGTTGCCGAGGCTGGGTTCAAACTTACAATGCTCCTGTCTCTGCCTCCCAAAGTACTGGGATTCCAGGTGTGGACACCCACACCCAGCTAATAACTGTGTCAACACATACATTTACATTAAGTTGTTATCTGATAATAATATTATAACTCAGTCTTTTTACAATAATGTTAACATTGGGCTCAAGATTTAGCTCAGAGGTTCCGGCGACTGCCTTGCAAGCGCAAGGTCCTGAGTTTGATCTCTGGTACCAAAAAAAAAAAAAAGAAAGAAAGAAATACAATAATGTTAACATTAATCTCCTAATGTACCAACAATATCATCATTAACCCATTATATGACTTAATATTAATCTCAACTTACTATGTTACAATAATATAATTAACTCCAACTTTGACAATAATATTACCATTAACCCTGCAGTGTGTCCATAAAATTAACAGGAATCCACTACATGACAATATTATTAACAAATCTCATCTTTTAATTTATTTGTTGTTGTTGTTTTTTTTTGGTACTGGGGTTCAAACTCAGGACCTTGTGTTTTCGAGGCAGGCGTGGTGCCACTGAGCTAGATCCCTGGCCGTATTTGTTTTTCTTCAGACAGTGTCTCACTGTGTAGTTCAGGCTGGCCTTGAACTCACTGTGTAGTCCAGGCTGGACTGGAACTCGTGGTGATCCTCCTGCCTCAGCCTCCCAAGTGCTGGGATAATAAGCCTGTGCCATCATGCCTAGCCAAATCTCATCTTTTGACAGATATTATTACTAACCCCATTATGGGCCAACATTGTGCACATTAACATGTCATGAAACAATAAATTACCCCACCTTTGCTGATATTAAATTTGCCCCATTAAATGGCAGAGGGGTTACCATTAACTCTTTTTTTTAACCATTAACTCTTTGTGTGACAATAATATCCTAACTACTTTTTGTTTTACAATGCTCTGTTGACTGCGACCCAGACCCCAACTGTGATCCCTATCTTGCTCCCAGCTCTCCCTCTAGTGGGAGACTTGAGCCTCGAGGCTAAGTCCTCACCCCCTAAACCCTAAGAACCCCCCACCCCTCCTGCCCATCCCAAGTAACCTCCACATCTTTCTCTCTCTTTCTAGACGAAGGTGAGGACCAGGCCGGTGATGAGGATGAAGATGATGAATGGGACGACTGAGCTGTCCCCCAGGCCAGTGGCTCCCACTGCACCTGCTCCCACTTGCCCCTGCCACAGACCAAAGTCCACTGCAGCTTCCGGGGCCTCACCTCCAGTGCTGTCACCCCGCAACTGTTCTTCACACTCACCCTAGCAGTCCTGGGGACCCTTTTTGTACATTTTCCAGTTCTCCTTATGCAAGGATTTTTAAACAAAAATAAAATAATTGTCCTTTTGTCTTGGTAAGTCTAGGTTTGCTTACATTGCAGGTGTGGAAATTTGGGGTCCTTTCCCCCGAAAGATCCCTTTTATTCATTTATCCCTTTCTATTTAGCCTTACGTGTATATGTTTGTTCATTCATTCATTCCTTTATGCTCTAAGTCATTTAGCCTGGTTTTGTTTTGTTTTGCTTTTCTCCGGTACCCGGGATAGAACTTAGGACCTTGCACTTTTGAGGCAGGTGTAGCGCCACTGAGCTAAATCCCCAGCCCTATAGCCTCTTTCTTTATTTTGTTCTCTCTCTCTCTCTCAGAAATGGTTGTGGCATGTTGTCTAAGCTGGCCTTGAATTCCCAGGCTCAAGCATCTCCACAAACATTTACTACCAGGCACTATTTTAGGGGCTAGGGTGAAATGGGCATTCTACAGGAGGATACAAACAGAACAAGAAATCAGATAGTGAGCTGGGTGTGATGGTGCACATCTGTAATCCCTGCACTCAAGGGGCTGAGACAGGAGGGTTGCTGCAAGTTCGAGGCCAGCCTGAAGTGCATAGTCGGACCTTGTTTAAAAAAAAGACTTCATAACAAAACAGAACTGCTCTAGAACTCAAGTAAGATACTTCAGCCTCAGTTTCCTCATCTGTGTAGTGGGAATAACAATATGTAATGGATTTCCAAATGGGATCCCACTAGGTCATCCCTCTTCCTCCTCCAGGACTTTTTTCCAGAAAAAGAGTAACTCAAAGGGCCAGGGATTTAGCTCAGTGGTGCTGCTGCCTGCCTTGAAAGCACAAGGTCCCAAGTTTGATCCCCGGTACCAAAAAAAAAAAAGTAACTCAAAACCGTTTCTAGTATTTAAAGCTTTTTCCAAGGGAGTAATTAGAAACTCTTGTTTACCAAAGCCTAGGATTGAGGTCTCTACCCTTCCCATTTCTGAAGTCTTGTGGATTCAAGACCTCAGGTATCAGGCTGGGTGTGGTCTCACCAGCCTGTAATCCCAGCTACTCAAGCCGAGGCAGGAAGATTGAAAGTTTGAGACCAGCCCAGGCAATTTAACAAGATCCTGTTTTAAAATGTGGCTCAGAGATAGAACATTCCATGCCTGAGAGTTTGGGGCCAGTCTGGGCTACATAGTGAGTTCAAGACCATCCTGAGCTACATAGTGAGACCCTGTCTCAAAAACAAAAAAACAAAACAAAGAAAGGTAGAGAATGCCACCAGTCCTGAAGAAAAAAAAATAGAGGCCAGAGAGCGCAGTCAGACAACTTGCTCAGTCCTGTTTTTTGCACTGCTGGGAATGGAACCTGGAGTCTTCTGCATGCTGACCAAGGGCTCTACCACTGAGGTATACCCTCAGCCCTCACAGGCTATTTTTACCCCAAGTCTGTGAGGGGAATCTAGAATGGGCTGCAAGATCAGTGGAAGACTCTTTGAACCATCAAACTGGGTGGGGTGGAGTGTTGGGGGGTAGGGAGGAAAGCAAGCAGATGTAGGGTGTAGTTAAGGAGGAGGTGTAAGGGTTGGAAGCTGGTGTTGCTCCTCAGGGGTTCCCAGAAGAAGAGAGAATTCTCCCAGAGCTAGAGAGGGAAGGAGTCTGTGCTTTCCCTGAATTTTCATAATTATTTATCCCCACTCCACTCTCCACAGAGACCAGATCCCTGGGTGAGCAGGCACTGAGTTCAGGAAGGACCTGTAGGTAGCACCTGTTCTCCATCCCAGTGGTCCACAAAAACCCTAGAAATTCATGTTTGGGGAACCCCTTTGGCAGCAGGCTTTACCCCACAAAGACCTCCCATGTGCAAACTTTGAACACGTGTGAGCACTGGGTAGGGCCAGCACAGAACCGACCCCAGGGGCTGATGGTGTGGCACAGTGGTAGAGCACTGGCCCGAGACGAGACGCATAAGGCCCTGGGTTCCATCCTCACTACTGTGAAAGGAAAAAGAAAACCAAATTGAGAAAGTTGCCTGACCTCTCTGAGCCTCAATTTCCTGTCTTCAAAATGAGGATAAAATGCTTACCTTCTAGGGCTGTGAGGATAATAATGAAAGGAAATGACGTCAGCAAAGTGCCTGGATCCTTGGAGGCAGCTATAAATGGTAGCTATTATTATCATTGTTGTGTTGTTACTGTTAATACTGGATTTCACTGACTCTGAATCACCATCGATTGAAAATGCAGCATTATTTTACGTATCACTAAGAAAGAGAAAAAAGTGCTGTCATTTAAATTATGACTCACTAGGACTTTGGAAGATGTAGGCTGATTTCAGAGTTGTTAAAAAATTAAATGCTTCTTGATCTCTGCATTCTGGTTCCAGGTGTATGTTCCCTTGTGAAAACTTGTCACATTGTGTCCCCATGGTCTCTATACCCTTCTGTATGTATGTTACAGCCCAACATGCAGTTTCCATTCATCAAAACAGGTCAAAACTGTGCACCTTGTGGGCTGGGGATTTAGCTCAGTGGCACCGTGCCTACCTCACAAGCATAAGGTCCTGAGTTCGATCCCAGGTACAAAAAAACCACAAAACTGTGAAGAAAAAAAAACTATCCACCTTGTGATGGATAAAACCATGTCTTCTCCCCAGCACTGGTCAAAGCAGAACATACAGTAGGTGCTTCATTAATGCTGAATAAACAGACACATGGGTGGGAGTGGGACACAGTTGTGACAGAGCGACCTTTTAAGGTCTCCTGAAAAAAGTGCTAGTCCAGAAAGATTCACTCTCCAAATTAATGAGAGATTGATCCATTCATCAAATGAAAAAAATGCCTGAGGCCACACAATTCAGTAAATGCGGAGCAGGTGGTCAGGTTCCAGAATCCAGGCCTTTGCCCTCATTATACTATTACACTATTTGGGAAAGGCCAAGAGTATTCCCCACCACCTACAGAGTCCTCCATCTTTCTTCCACATCAAGCCAGGCAGAGGTCTTGTCTTAAATCATTCTCCTGGCTTGGACAGTCTCTGGGACTCCTAGGAGAAGGAACTCAATACCTGCTAGAGAGGATGGGGGTGAGTGAGGACCAGCATCTGACTATTCTATAAAGAAGAAGGGAAGTGTTATGGCTTGTGTTTAGATGTCCTCTCAAAGCCTCATGCTATTTTGGAAGTGGCCGAATCTAGACTGTGATTGATTCTTGGTGTACTGCTAGGCCCAAGGGCACTAGGATTCAGGGCATGAGTGCTACCCACCCTAAGTAGTCTGAATAAGATAAAAGGGGCAGGAAGACGCTGTTAAGGTCCCTTGTTGCCTTTGCTGTCTTCTGCCACCCTGCCTTGGAGCCAGCTGACTATGGACTGAAACCTCTATGAACTGTAAGCTAAATAAATCCTTTCCCCCTTTAACTTTGGGTGTTGGGTATTTTGTCTCAGCAATGAGGGAGAAGTAAGACAAGAAGGAAAGGGTTGCACAGTGGACTTGACATGGTTGAACATGGCCAGCAGGAACTGATGGAACCTCAGAGTGAACAGCCATTTTCTCCAGGTGGATGAAAGGCAGACACATTATATGTTTGGTTAACTGTACAACCTTTGGTTGACTGTAGCTCACAGAAGACAGGGAGGGGCAGTTTGAGGGACTGACAGTGCAGTTTTCTGATGCTGTGAGGCACTGAACTTCCAGCTGAATGATGGCTCGCCTAGGACTGGCTGGACTGGTAGCCTGACAGTGAAGAAGATAGGCAGCCTCCGAGGGCCTTACAGGCTTGGCTGACTGGTGACCCATGGTGCTCCTGCCAGCCTGGGTGCCTGCCTGGGTGTTATAAATGAAAGACTTGCTAGGAATTGCCCCTGGCCTTAGGAACTGTCTGGATATTATTCCGTCTGGCTCTGTGTGAGGAAAGACTAAAGCAAGGGAATTTCAGGATGACTGATCATTGTGTGTAGCTGCCAACAAGGTAGTGTATCTGACTGAATCACACCATGCTTGAGAGCCTGGCTGGGTATGTTGACTGACCGCTCATGGGTGGTGTGGGTTGAGGGGTGCTGAAAAGGACCACCTGGCCAGGTGTGGTGGTGCACGCCTGTAAGCCTAGCACTCAGGAGGCTGAGGCAGGAGGACTGCCACAGGTTTGAGGCCAGCCTGAGCTACATAGTGAGTTCAAGGCCAGCCTGAACTACATAGTGAGACCCTGTCTCAAAAAAAAAAAAAAACAAAAACACCTGGCTAGCAGACAGGATGAGCGGTAGAATGAGCGAGTCACGGGCCAGCTGACTGACAGCAAGATCCATGTAGCTGCCTGACCCTGGCTGTATGTGATTACAGACTGTCTGCCCTGATAGATTCCAAGCCTCTCAGGGGCTCAACACATCAGAAGATACTGACTGACTTGATCCATGGTGGGACTAAGTTGCTTGAGAAATGACCGAAAAGCTGCAAGAATCCAGAATGACATGAACACAGGCATCTTGGTTGCAACCACCTTCTTGCCAGGCAAATGGCCCTGGGATGCATTCCAAACCCTATAGGATAGAGAAAGTAATTAAGATAAGTCAGATGAGCATTACATCCTGGCTACTGACATTTGACATATTAATAGTTTGGTTTTTGAGAAAGCACATGTGTATTTTGCTCAGTCACACCCATCTTTGTCTAGTTTAACAAAATAAACCCCTTCCTCTTGCCTTGAGGTGTGAGAATGCTCCACTTTGCAAAATCATGGATTTGTTTGACTCTTTCTTCGGCCTTGCCACCTTTCGCCTTGGCAGCTAGTTCTGATACTCGGGCCCTATACCCTGGGTGACCCACTGACAGGTGGCCAGGAGGTCTCATTGTATTTCTGGTTGTTTGGATTATTTGCTCTGAAGGCCTAGCTGGGTGTGTAGTGAAGAGAAACTTGAGGGAGCTGCAGTGACCATTCGACAATGTGACTGCCCCTAAGAGGGTTAGCATCTGACAGAGCCATATTAGAGGCTGACAGTGACAGCTTGTTCTGACCTAATCCCAGCCTGCCTGAGGGCATGGCTGAATGCTGTACTTCATGAGAAGTTTCTTCCAGGGTGGAGTGCAACTGGTCCCAGGGCCAGGGTAGATGGAGAGGAGAGCTGCTTGACTGGCTGACTTTGTGAGGGGCACACTTGGAGGGAATGGCAGGCTGGCTGGCTAACAACACCATTATCTCCCTCAAAGCCTGAGAACGAGGACACAGTGGATGCTACTATTGACTGATGAAGAATATGAACAGGGAGGCAGGGGTCTGAATGGACACCTGTCTGGAATGTCTCGTCTGATTTGAATGAGTGAACAACAGAGCAGCTAGCTATACATGGCGCTAGTCCACCCTGGGAATCACGGCCTGCTTGGGGTTAAAATGTGATGACGGACTGACTGACAGAGATAACTGGGGGTCTGACAGGACGGAGGATCCCCCTTATGACTGGCTGAGAACGTGATTGGCTACCAGTGTGACAGACAGACCTGTGCACGGGCAGGGCCTCAGGCAATCTCAGCTACCGCTGCGCCACCACCGCCTTCGCCGCCACCGCCGCCTTCGCCACCCAGAAGCACTTTGGGAAAGCGCGGCGAATACAGCCTCCGGGACCCGGCCGGGTGGCGAGGAGGAGTCCGGTCACGGCTTTCCGGTTGGTCCGCCCAAGGCGCTGCGGGCTGAAAGGCGCGGCCAATAGGCTGCGCTTTCCCGGCTACGCCCGCGCGAGCTCTCTTCTCGCGAGGCCGGCTAGGCCCGAATGTCGTTAGCCGTGAGGAAAGATGGCGGAAAATTTAAAAGGTGAAGCAGTGGAGGCAGAGGCGCAGGCCCGCTGGCAGGGCCGGGTGGGCTGGAGGGGTGGTGTCGCGGGCTCGGGGCCCCGGCGTCCGAGGCCACAGAGCCGGGAGCTGGAAGCCCGGCGCAGAAAGGATAGGGCTCACGGAGCGCGGGCCCGGCTCGCGGGGCTGGGCGGGGCTGAGGGGAGGGGGCGCGCTCTTCAGAACGCGTCAGGCGCTGGGCTAAGTGGGGACGCAGGAGGGGGGCGCGCGTCACAGGTCGCGACCGGACCGGCGCGCGCTCGCGCGGGGGTTTGCGGGGACGCCGAGGCTGCGTGCGCGGAAAAAATCGGCCCCGGTGACCGTTACCCTTTCGGTGTCCACGCGAGATGCCGGAAGGGGAAGGAAGAGAAGAGGACAGACTCCCCCCTCAGAGTGGGTGGACAGGTGACTCTTGAGGGGACAGGGTCTCGCCGCTCACCGAGGTGGGAGAAGGATTTGAAGTAGAAGATTCTCCCAAAAGAGGAGAACAGGGCCTCCCTAATGGGAGAGCTTGACTCCCCCATGTGCAGGGAAAGAGGTGGCTCTGTTGTGAGGCGAAGCCGCGAGGAGGGTGGATTCCACAAGTGTGAAAGGGACTCTGAGGGCCAGGAGAGTCCAGCTGTTGTCAGTACAGAGCCAGTAGCCTGGGACATTGGGACCGCGTCTGTGGGGTTTCCGACGCAAGTTAAGGGCTTGGCAGAGAGAGGCCTCTTAGGGAGAGGCATGTTAAGGGAGGAGGCCTTGCCCATGGGGGGAGGGAGCTTTAGTTTTGTAAAGCTCTTGTTTTTAGGTTGACATCTAGGGTATCTCATCATGAATTTAAATAAGTTTGATTTTTGTAATGGGAAGTCGGAAATGTTGAACATTTTTAAAAGATGGATATAGGAGGATGTGGACTGGGTACACTTGAAACCAAGTGTTTTGTGACATGATTTGATAAAATGGCTTCTAAAGCACATTAATGATAGACGTGCCTTGAATAAGAAATACATATTTTTAAATCTGTGTCTTAAAAATTTTTGGTACCTTCAGAAACATTCTAGGTATACTTAAAAGAATTGATGTCACTAACCTATACAGGTTTGTGTGTTCCTGAATTCAGAACATGGCCCTTTGGACAAGCTCTATCCTTCACAGAAATGTGGCTGAGACAGAAAGTCGAAATGCAGAAGTGGGAAAAAATTTTTTACCTTGTTGGGTTAAGATGTCCCAGACAAATCATTTAAGGAGCCTTCCTGAAATGTGTATCATTTCACAATCCTTATTTATAATTCCAAAATCTAAGAAGTCCTGAAAATGGAAATCTTTTTCTTAAATTTGGCACCATTCATGGCAAAAGAAGATACTAAAAAGTGGGACTATTCAATGAGTTTATCTTACATCTTCTATTTAATGTGGAAAATTTGTACTTTTGCTGGAGAATTATTCATATGTTTGATTATGGCTTGCTGTCCCTGATCATAATCAGGGTGTTGGTTTAATGTATGGGGGCACACCTAGAGCTGCACTCCTAAAATCCCCCCAATTTTTGAATTCTAAAACTCGTCTGGCCCTGGTAGTTTCAGATAAGGGATTGAAGACCAGTCTTTCCAGTTATGCCTTTGTTTGGTGCCCTGGAGGTTTTAATCCTGTCCCCAACCCCCTCAGGGCAATACACCCTACTGAGGTGGGGGTTGTTCTCTTTCTTTTGCAAAATAGAGAACCCTGAGAGCAGGTCTTGAACCTGAGGCAAGTTTGCAGGCAGATTTAGGAATAGGGCAGAGGGAGTTAAGAGGCTCTGGGAATAGATTCCTTTGGGACCATCCACATACCAAACCCCACTTTGAGCCTACTGCTCCAAAGGAAGCCTTTGACAAAGCACAGGGGTTCATAGTAGCACATTTGTGTTGCAGAAGTATCTCAGCATCGGAGGAAGACCTGTGGATTAAGTTTCCCTGACTCTTAGGGCTGCCCTTGGGATGCCCTAGAGGATTTGGGGTCCCGCTTGGCCCCTGACCTGGTCAGGCTGCCCAGTAATGGCTCACTCCGGCCCCCTTGTTCCAGGCTGCAGTGTGTGTTGCAAGTCCTCTTGGAATCAGCTGCAGGACCTGTGCCGTCTGGCCAGGCTCTCCTGCCCTGCCCTTGGCGTCTCTAAGAGGAACCTCTATGACTTTGAAGTTGAGTACCTGTGTGATTACAAGAAAATCCGCGTAAGTCTGGAGTGAATGCCCTGGGAGGGGGCAGGTCTCAAGGGATTTGGTCTCTTGTCACTCACCCCACCCCTGCTGCCCACATCTGTTTCCAAAGGGAATTTTCTCCTCTGATCCTTCCTGAAAAAAACAGGATGAATAGACCTGCTTTCCCCCATTTTATAGGTGGGAAAACTAAGTGGGTTTCTTAGGAGATCAGGAACTAAATGAATCCCCAAATGTCTCTTCCCATCTCCCTGGAAATACAAACTGGTTACAGAGATTCAGACACCAGAACCCAGGAGTGTGGATGAGAATAGCTACTGTTACTAGTTGTGTCAGTAACTATTGTGGTTACTTCCTCTCAGGAATTCATTTTAACACTCCCACCCCATCCACACAATATTGTGCTGTGAAATGGCAACAGTTGCCTTTGCTAGAGGATGTAATGGAAGGACAGTTACAAAGAGTCAACATGCTTGGGTTTAAATCCTGGCTGTATAAACCTAGCCTCCTTAAACTCAAAACATTTTCCTCATCTGTAAAATGGGGAGAGCTAGTAGTAGCTAGTTCATATAGAGTTGTAGGGAGTAACTTTGTTACTATCACACTGCACTTTTTAGGGCCAGGTGATTTAGCTCAGTGGCGCAGTGCTTGCTTCGCACGCACAAGATCCTGAGTTTGATCCCCGGTACCAAAAAAAAACTTCCTTAAAACAGTAACTGTTTCATAATGAATGCTGGGCCGGGGATTTAGCTCAGTGGTTCCGGCACCTGGCTTGCAAGGGCAAGGTCCCGAGTTCAATCCCCGGACCAAAGGAAAAAGAAAAACATAATGAATGCTAGGAAAATGTTAGTTGTTTCTTTGTTACCAGTGGAAACTGAGGCCCAGCAAAGTTAAATAACTTGCTTAAGGCAACACAGCCAGGGAGGTCCAGATTGAGGATTTGTACCCAGGTGTCTAATTTTAGAATTTTCTGTGCTGTGAAACTGTCCTCTATCACTGCCTCCCCACAGTAAAAGCTCCCTCTGGCTGCTGTGCGGAGAATAGCGAGGGCAGAGGCAGGGGACCAGTGAAGAGGCTCCTGCCAGGGGCCAGCAGCCTCAATGGTGGTGGCAGTGACTGTGGTTGGGTGGTTTGAAGAGGTCAGGTTCCGGATGTGTTTGGAAGGTGGGGCCAACAGGGTGTGCTGAGGGTGGGCGTGGGGAGTGTGAGTAAAAGAGAAGTGAAGGATGACTCCAGGAGTGTAGGCTGGAACAGCTAGGAGGGAGCAGATGCCAAGGAAGACAGGAGGGAGTGGGTTTCAGAGACAAGTAAAAAGTAGAAATTGGAAAGAAAGTAAGGGGGAGAGTGGGAGTTGAACCTAGGAATCCTGTCTCCAGAGCCCATGGTTTCTAAGCATTCCAGAAAAAGAGTGGGGTGAGGTAGGGGTTCTCCATTGGCCCAAGGGCTTCATCATTATGACACCCTCATCCCCCTGCACCCTAACAGGAACAAGAGTATTACCTGGTAAAGTGGCTCGGATACCCTGACACGGAGAGCACCTGGGAGCCACGGCAGAATCTCAAGTGTGTGCGCATCCTCAAGCAGTTCCACAAGGACTTAGAAAGGGAGCTGCTCCAGCGGCACCACCGGTCAAAGCCACCCCGGCACCTGGACCCAAACTTGGCTAACTACCTGGTACAGAAGGCCAAGCAGAGGCGGGCGCTTCAGCGCTGGGAGCAAGAGCTCAATGCCAAGCGCAGCCACCTGGGACGCATCACAGTGGAGAATGAGGTGGACCTGGATGGCCCCCCACGGGCATTTGTGTACATCAATGAGTACCGAGTTGGTGAGGGCATCACTCTCAACCAGGTGGCCGTGGGCTGCGAGTGCCAGGACTGTTTGTGGGCACCTAGTGGAGGCTGCTGCCCTGGAGCATCCCTGCACAAGTTTGCCTACAACAACCAGGGCCAGGTGCGGCTGCGAGCCGGGCTCCCCATCTATGAGTGCAACTCACGCTGCCGCTGTGGCTATGACTGCCCCAACCGTGTAGTACAGAAGGGCATCTGCTATGACCTCTGCATCTTCCGCACAGATGATGGGCGCGGCTGGGGTGTCCGCACACTCGAGAAGATCCGCAAGAACACCTTTGTCATGGAATACGTGGGAGAGGTAGGGAGTCAGGACCCAGCATGTTATGCGGCTATTCTTACCATGTGTGCCCAGCTTCTGCCCTGTGTGCCTGAAACATCCTTGCTTTCCTTGTGGGAGAAGTCTGGATGGTTGGATTGAATGGCATAGGGATCTCCTGGCAGGGGCTGCTATTCCAGGCTGGAACACACCAGCACAAGCATGCTGGTGGCTAAAAGAACACTGAAGTATTTCTGGATGGGGTGGTTTCCTAAAGGTCGCTAGCAAGAAAGGAAGTGGGAACTGAGATCTGGGCAGCAATCCCTTCAGAGGTCATGTGGTCAGAGAGCACAGGGCTGTAGCACCTGAGAAGGCCCCTCCCTTCCCTTCTCGTCCCACAAGGGCCATCTTATGGTCTGGAGTAGATGTAGGCCTGCTTGGACTGAGGTTGCCCACCTTCTCTAGACTTTGAAGTCACCCCAGGGAAGGGCTGGGTATATGAG